GGGGAGGTTTGTATTTCAAAGCAGTAAAATCGAACTTATAACCAGACGCTCCTCTGTAGCTAAATTGGTAAAGCACGTCAGTCTATATGACATTTCCGTCTAGGATACACGTCCGAAGTTTCATAGAAAATATGAAATTTCTCGGACATTCAGGCCAGTAAATGTTGTTAATACTGTTTATTATAAACAGATCATTTACTTAAATATTTTTGTCTATATAAATAAGGAATAACAATATATATTCAAATAATAGTCGGACTTTGTCCATTTCGTAGTGTGTGACGTCATATATATATATATATATATATATTTAATATATTTATATAACGCTTTCATTTTGAAAATCAAAACATTATATAACTGCAAGAAACTATTTCTTATTTAACAGTTAAAATATTTCAACCTTGAAAATGGCTAAATGTATAGTTGAAAGCGCTCCGACAAAAAAACATTCGGACAGTTTTTATATAATTTATCACCTGAAAAGAAAAAAAAAGATTAGATCCCATAAGAAATTGCATAAAAACATCTAAATCAAAGCACCTTATCTGTCTTATTCAATGAAATGTACACAAATATATATATATATATATATATATATATATATATATATATATATATATATATATATATATATATTTGTGTATTTGGCCAGCAATCCATCTTTCATGCACATTTCATTGAATAAGACAGATAAGGTGCTTTGATTTAGATTTTAGCTAATACCCTTGGGAAAGGTATGAATCCTCTTATTCTCCCTCCAGTTATGGCTAAACAACAGGAAAGACTGGGTTCTATAGCCTTGGATGGCAACTGGTCTAGGAGGACAACACTGAATTTAAAACTTGCGGAGGGTCGTTTGGCACCAGATCTCTGTATTTGGCCCTTCAAAAAGTGTGGATGGTTCTGGACAAAACCTTCACCACTATAATCAAATCTCATGTGCCTGTGTCAGGCTGTCGGTTTCCTGGGAACCGATCTGCTTGACCTTGATACGTCGAATTTGACTTGGAGAATCGAGTATATACTATCCAGGGATCTGCTATTTAATATGCCACACCAATAGTTGGGAAAATGAGATAATATTCATGTATTTCAATGCTAGCAGTTTCAAGACCCGATACCCTTTTGCGTGACTCCATCTTTATTCATAAATGTCCTCTTAATCTACTGCCACATCGTTACTTCATTGTCTACCGTTGGCCTCAAACATTTACTGCCTTCAGTTCGAATCCAGACAAGTGAGAAATATTTTGAATAAGGATTTTCAAGGACACGTTTGATTTGATCCATTCAGGTGTTTGGTGGAACACAATGTTCTCTCACCACCACCTGTCCGTCTTGCCTTGAGATATTCTCAGCTGAGTGATCGAACTGTCACGTGACCGTTCACGTGATCTCCGTTTTCTTTCCCGCCCGCTTGCCGCCGGCCATGTTCTTTTGCTGACAAATGCTGCTAATTTGAGAGTTGGAGAAGTGAAAGGGAACAGGAAAAAAAAAAAGAAAAGAAAAAAAAAATGTGTGGAAAGTAATAGAAAGAATACTTGTTGAAAGAAGAGAAACAAGAGTTTAGCTTCGGGGATCGTGGGTGCGTAAGATTGCCTGGGGGCTATGGAAATGTAAAAGAAGAGATTAGGGCGAACGGGGAAATACAGTGGGAAGGAAATTAACAAGAAAGGAGTAAAATTTTGAAGACTCAAGAGAAAAGTCTTTTCAAGAAAGAAGAAGTAAAGAGGAAAGGAAAAGGAAGAAACAGAAAGAAAGAAAAAAGAAAGTAAGAAAGAAAGAAAGAAAGAAAGAACGAAAGAAAATATTAATTTATAAATGAAGAAAGAAACAGAAAATAATGAACCCATGAAGAAATTGAAAACAATGAAAAAGCATTCATGCAATAACAAAAAAAAAAGAATGAAATAAAGAAAAAAGAAAGAAAGAACGAATGAATCAAAAGATTTTAAAAAATAAAACCATTCATGGGGTAAGAAAGAAAGAAAGAAAGAAAGAAAGAAAGAAAGAAGAATGAATCAATGAAGAAATTGAAAACAATGAAAAAGCATTCATGCGATAAGAAAGAAAGAAAGAAAGAATGAAAGAAAGAAAAAAGGAAGAAAAAAGAAAGAAAGAACGAATCAATGAGGAAATTTTTAAAAATATACAAACATTCATGCGGCAAGAAAGAAAGAAAGAAAGAAAGAAAGAAAGAAAGAAAGAAAGAAAGAAGGAATGAAATAAAGAAAAAAGAAAAAAAGAAAGAATCAATGAAGAAATTTAAAAATATAAAAACATTCATGTGGTAAGAAAGAAAGAAAGAAAGAAGGAATGAAAGAAAGAAAAAAGAAAAAAAGAAAGAAAGAACGAATGAAAGAAATAAAGAAAAAGAAAAAAAGAAAGAAAGAACGAATGAAAGAAAGAAAGAAAAAGGAAAAAAGAAAGAAAGAACGAATGAAAGAAAGAAAGAAAGAATCAATGAAGAAATTGAAAACAATGAAAAAGTATTCATGCGATAAGAAAGAAAGAATGAATGAAAGAAAGAAAAAAGGAAGAAAAAAGAAAGAAAGAATAAATCAATGAGGAAATTTAAAAAATATACAAACATTCATGCGGTAAGAAAGAAAGAAAGAAAGAAAGAAAGAAAGAAACGGAAAGAAAGAAACGGAAAGAAAGAAAGAAAGAAAGAAAGAAAGAAAAAGTAAGAAAGAACGAATCAATGAAGAAATTTAAAAAATATACAAACATTCATGCAGTAAGAAAGAAAGAAAGAAAGAAATAAAGAAAGAAAGAAAGAAAGAAAGAAAGAAAAAAGAAAGAAAGAAAAAGAAAGAAAGAATGAAAAAAGAAAGAAAGAAAAGAAAGAAAAGAAAGAAAAGGCAGACAAGAAACAATGAAGTTATAAATGAAAGTAGAAGGAGGAAAAAAAGAAAGAAAGAAAGAAAGAAAGAAAGAAAAGGCAGACAAGAAACAATGAAGTTAAAATGAAAGTAGAAGGAGTGAAAGAAAGAAAGAAAAAAGAAAGAAAGAAAGAAAGAAAGAAAAGGCAGACAAGAAACAATGAAGTTATAATGAAAGTAGAAGGAGTGAAAGAAAGAAAGAAAGAAAGAAAGAATGGAAACGAAAAGAAACGGACAGAAAGAAAGAAAGAAAGCAAGAGAGAAAGAAAGAGAGAAAGAAAGAGAGAAAGAAAGAAGAATCAAATATATTACAAGAAAGAAAGAAAGAAACAAACGAACAAGAATCAAATACATAACAAAGTAAGGAATAAAGAAAGATACAAAAATCAAATTAATAAGAAGAAAGAAAAAAAGAAAGAAAGAAAGGAGAAACATACAAGAATCAAATACACAAAAAAGAAAGAAAGAAAGAAAGAAACAAAAATCAAATACGTAACAAGAAAAATGAACAAATAATAAAAAAAGTTAATGTTATCTGGTAGAAATATAGACAGAAAGAAAAGCGATATTTATATCATATAAAAGAAAGAAAAAAGGAAAATGATTATTTGAAAGAAAAAACGAAGAAGCTTAATCACGAGAAAGAAAGAAAGAAAGAAAGCAAGCAAGCAAGCAAGCAATCATATTGTAAGAATTAATGTGTTTTGCTGTCTTTCTGTCGAAAACTATTCAGGCATATATATATATATATCTTTCATGTGGCACTGGCAAGGAACAACTCGACAACACCGAAGACAAATGACCACAAATAATACAATGTTAGTTATACACGGACGTGTACGTGTGCATAGAGACTGAAAATAAAAAAAAATCGTCTGTAAACTCAAAAGGCAAACAAATGCCGTATGGAACAATTTGAATATCAATTTATATACATCTAACCAAAGTATTGCTTCTAGGAAGAAAGGAGAATAAAAGCTCATATTTAAAAAAAAAAAGAAAGACTCCAAACTGAATACTTCTGTATCTGTTTAATGCATATGGAGGCTCCGAAATTTATTTTGTTTTTTACAGTAAAGTTCATCTTTGTACAAGGCCCGGAGCCAGTCGAAGTAGAGAGTTACGTTAAGGGTTAGTTTATATGAATATGAGAAGACAACTGTATATTTCGGGAGTTGAACAGGCTGAGATTGTAGTGATCGGGAAACCACCCTCTCGGGAGCCTGTTCTACAGAGAAGCGGTTCGCTGGAAGAAGCTTTTCAAGAGGAACTTACTTTTCACCGATGGAATACGTAGGAAATGTGGGTAGTTTTCTATTATGTAAATAGCTTGGCGGATTCTGGACGTGAAGGCCAGACCTGGCGGACCCAAGGAATGTAGTTCGTTCGTTCAAGCATTTTCCATAGAAGTAGATATAATAGCAATTAGAGACTCGCCACATCCCGACTGTGATATATATATATATATATATATATATATATATATATATATATATATATATTAAGCGTTTCAGCCCAAGTAAGGCTGGAAGCCACTAGCATGCAAGGAGTTACATAAAATTCGGAGTGAGAGCAGATTGGAATGATAGTGGAAAGGATGAGGAGAAGGATAGGGGATAGATCAAGGCAAGTGGAGATGTCGATTGACATTACATTTGAATAGTTGGAGATTATAGCTCTCAGGGAAAATGGAATAGGGAAGGGAGTTCCAAAGGCGAGAGGTGCGAGACATGAAGCTATTGGAGTAAAAGAGACGGCTACATTTAACAGTTTCAACAGTGAAAGGGTGAGAGCGGGTTGCCAGCCTCGTAGGGCGCTTGAACTCATGAAGCCTGGGAACCAGCGAATGCAGCTCATCGGAGCAATTGCTATGAAAGTATTTGTAAAAAAGACAGAGGGAGGCGACGACACGTCTGTGAGAGAGCGACTGCAACGAGATGCCAGAGCAGGGCCAATTGCATTGCATATACAACTCTGGATCTTATCAACAACCCCCGAGGCAAATAGAAGAGGCTCCAAACCATATATGGCAGCAATACTCCATGCAAGGGCGAATGGTTGATTTGTAGATTTGAAGGATCGATTCCGGGGAGAAAAATTTCCTGGCACGGCACAGGGAGCCAACTTTTCTTGCGGTGGACGAAGCTATTGACTCAATGTATTTGTTCCATCTTAGGTCAGCAGACAATGTGGGACCGAGCAGCCGCAGAGAAGTGCTCTCGAGAAGTTGAGCGTCAGATATTCTAATGGGAGGCAGGGAAGGATCTCTGTGGTGATTAATAGAGAGCAGTTTTGTTTTTGAGGCCTTAAAGTTAACCATCCAATTCTTGCCTCAGTTCACAACTGATTGGAGGTCCATGGGTGTTGGACGGTGAGAAATAATTCTTCTCTAACAAGAAATCGGAGAGGCTTTTGAATTCTATCAAGCCCAGAAAGTGAGGACTGAGCAGCTGCCGCCCAAATATAAATAACGGTACTCCATTTTCGACCTGATCTGACTCTTATAAAGGTAAATTATAGCATGAGAAGTCAGCTACTTACTTGGACTGTACAATGAGCCGATCATTTTATCCGAATTTTGTAGGCGGTTTGCTACAATGTAAGTGGCATGACAGGTCCTAGCCGTGAAGATTAGACCTGTTGGAACCAAGAAATATAGTTTGTCCGAGCAATTTCAATTGTAATTGCGATAGAGCAATGAGAGACTCGCCACATCCCGCTTGTGTGAGAGAGAGAGAGAGAGAGAGAGGTTGTGTGGGTAGAAAATAATTCTTCTCCCACAAGGACTCGGAGACGATTTTGAACTCTATCAAGACTAGAAAGTGAGGACTCACCAGCTCCAAACAAAAATATGACAACAGTACCCAATTTTCGGCCGGATCTAGCTTTTATAAATGTAAAAGATAGTATGTGGAGCCAGGTACTTCCTGGTGTTGTACAGAGAACCGATCATTTTATCCGAATCTTTAGCGATGGATCGTATGCGTTGTGAGCTTGAGAATATTCTCTCAAAACAACCGATCCGCTCATTTTGATAGCTCGAATCGTTTGACTTATCTTAGGAAATGCATCTTATAACTCTCGAAAAAGGCAACTCTTCTTTTTATTTAATTTTCATTTCCATTAAGCCTATTTCTTTTCTATTTATTTTTTTAATAGAAAAGTTAAAACCTGTCTATATTTCTGAGATGAGGTATTGAATGCGGAAATCATTCTTATTGTCATATAACAACGTTTCGGCGATATACGCTCCTTCACGGATTTTGAATATCGAACTGAAAAACTTTTCCCACCGGAATAGATTGTTCTAGTTCCATGACTTTTGTATATATATATTATTTATTAGTAATCCAGATAGAGAGAGAGGTTAAAAAATTCTCTAACAAAGACTCGGAGAGAACTCTATCAAGACTAGAAATTGAGGACTGTTGTTTAACAGTACCCAATTTCGGCCGGATCTAACTTATAAATGTAGAGGATAGTATGAGAGCATTTGTACAGAGAACCGATAATCTTTGTATTTATGTTAAAAAAGGCCGTAGTTTGAAACCCAATAAAATTTTGAATGCCTAAATATCACAATTGTCAGACTTTGTCCATTTCAAGGTTTGAGATATATTATATATTTATATATATATATTATATATAGAAATAAAAATTTAAAAATTTAAATAATGTTGTTTATAATTAAAAATAGTATTTAATCCTAATATTTGTATTTATAAAAATGTATAAACATTTGTCTCAAAATAATTGGACTTTTGTCCATTTCGAAAGACATTTTATGTTTATACAATCTTTTATAGATACAAATATTTAAGTTCCGTTCTGTTTATAATAAACAGTATTAACAACAATCGGCCTGAATGTCTGGAGAAATTTCATATAAAAATATGTCCTTCAACAGAAATCGAAACTGTATCCTATGGAACCGTCATATAGCCTGACGTGCTTTTTACCGATGAGCCACAAAGGAGAATATATGCGAGACTGTATCCTAACTATACCGTGCTATACCATTTTTTATTAAATATGTTTGAATGGAACCTATCTCTAATTTTCATATGTACACTGTATATATTTTTAACACGGTATTGTTTTGCACGGTAGATTCTGGAACATGCAAAAAGAGAAGTGAGTGAATGGAGCACTCCGGCTGATTGACATTTGTTTACATTCGTAAAAACAATACGCTAGATTTAGCTGCCTCATTCTGTCGAATGAAGATAGCTCAGCGTAGAGACTCTGACTGACACCAAATCGGTTGTGTTTCAATCCTGGCCTTGAGACATTCGGGTGCCCAGTCGCACTGAAGAGCTGTAATACAGCGAAACAGTACTGTCTGCGAATGACACAATATATATTGATTGAACTGTGGCTTCTCAATCTGTTTAATCTTTCTCTTCACTTGGGGATATATATATATATATATATATATATATATATATATATATATATATATATATATATATACCCACTTAGGGATATATATATTGATATATCCCGGAAAGGGATATTCGAAGTAGCAAAGTGGTTGTTGACTACTGTCACCGGATAGGACAAACTAGCAGGTAACCGTAATGGACTGGTCCTCGTTGTAGTGGTAGGCAAT